TGGAGAACATGCAAAGAGGAGTGGAGACAGAGACCAGCAGGAGCCGAGAGAACGGAAACGGTCTGGTCACACTGTAGTGGAGCCAAGGCTGCCCTGGCTCTCCAGCCGACCTGTCATCTGCCTGGTGTCACCGAGTCTCCAGATTGTCTTATTGAAAAGCTTTGATTCCTTCTAAAGCTACTGCACTTCCGAGACATCGTGTGCATCTGATTTCAGAGCGAGAGTAAAATCGGTTGTGCTCTTACACAGCATTCTTGTCTTTCATGATTGGTTTGACTAGTTCATTCAGACCATTACTAGACTGAGACAAATTCTCAAAATTGCACCAGTAACAATCGCTGTGAACAGGCTCAGTTCATGCATTTATTTATTCATATATCTTTATTGTCCATCCGAAAGGGTGGAGATGTGTCTTTGGCTTCACCATAAAAACAACAACAAATAAGTACACATTAAAAACAAGCAGTAGCCCTAGCCACATCTCACTCTGCCTATCTTACACTACCGTTACATTAGGTAGCTTCATACAGGGAACAATCATTTAACTAATTGAACATCTACACTTCCACAAGAAATCTGGGTGCACCCAGATAGAAATGAAGCTCATTTCTGAGTTCAATCACTCCACTGTGACTACAGACTGTTCAGATATGTTTATTTTGTGAAAGGGACTGGACATTTAATAATAATATCCTTACACTTATATAGAGCTTTACAGGTAATGGGGACTCCCCCCCTCCACCACCAATGTGCAGCCCCACCTGGATGATATGATAGCAGCCATAGTGCACCAGTACACTCACCACACATCAGCTGTCGGTGGGGAGGAGAACTGAGTGAGGATGCCAATTCAGAAATGGGGCTTATTAAGAGGCCATGATTGGTAAACGTTAGGGGGATACTGGGGTACCTTACTCTTTTTGAGAAGCGCCCTGAGATTTTTAATGACCCCAGAGAGTCAGGATCTTGGTTTTATGTCTCATCTGAACGACGGTGACATTTTTACAGTGTAGTCATCACACATCAGTATAGTGCCCATCACTATACTGGGGCAGTAGGACCCACACAGACTGCAGGGTGAGCACCCCCT